CCCAGTGCTGATGTTCTGCAAATACACTGAAAATCACTCCTTTCCTAAATTGAAAATTTGCCATCTTTAAAGTTACACTGGAAGTCAAGACGTACCTACATGAAGATTAAAGAACTGGCTTTTCTAACATGCAGATTTTATCGCATTGTTATGATGACGCTGCCATTTATTTTCAAGTAAATATAGTAGTTACTACTTATATGAAAAGGAAATACAATGTGAAAATGATGTTTGATGATTATAAACATGATTATCGTTTGTTACTTTATTATAGTCAGTTACAGAACAAAACATGTAGATCTCTCTGGACCTCCCAATGTGACAATCTACAAAAAAACTTAGATTTCTGTTGAGATTAGGATTCTGGTTACTTAGTGAAAATATTAATTCAAAAATTTAGTTGGTTCTAAAAAAATTTTTAATTGACTTTGTCCTTCTTGGGAGGCCAGGGGGGTGGGGGTGGTGGGAGGGAAGAGAGGGAGTGAGGGAGATTTCCAACTGTGCTTCTCAGATCTCTTTCCAGAATAAATTTTCTATCTCAAAAATCAAGGACTTCTCTGAAAACAGCAGACAGCAGACAGCACATTATCCTCAAGCTGGTGAATAGGATGGATTTTTCTCCCTAAACGTCCCTTCTGCTCTCTAGTTTGAATTATCAATAAAATGACTTGGCTTATCTCTGAAAATAACCTTGTTGACAACACAAATATGGACTTAAACACGCTACCTCCACATTTAAGATTTACGAAGCCCCCGTAAATGTCAGGGGGTGTCAATGTGTTTGCTGTGATACTTGGTTATTACTAGTGTTTAACTGCAATCCCCCACCAGCGCCATGCCGCCTGCACCACATTAATTTTAATGTGATCATGTGCTCTTCTCTCTTCATATCCAGTGAATTCTGCAGGATCATAATATTCTATATGTGAACCCTAGCTGAACCTTAGTGTGATATGAAGAAAAAACAAGATTTCTAGCAGTGATAGTTGTTCATCGTTTTATAGTTTTTTAAAAAACTGGACACTAGGCAACATGAATAATATTACCCTCAACTAAATCCACTCATTCAAATGCATCTCTTTTGAAAGAGCCCTACAGGATGCTGGGCATGGCCCAAAGTGCTAATGAGTACATTTATGGGATAGTAAAGAACACTGACTCTTAAGGAAACCTTTTTTTATCCCCCCTGGAGAATCTGTCAGAACTCATACATCATTTATAAAACCGAAAAATGTCTCCGTAACCTTGGCACTACCGCATACCTTTTATTCCACAGAATACAAACAAAAGCACAGTCGTTTTCCCTCTCTGGTCTGCATTGTGAATAGGAGAGATGTGTTTCTCATTGTTCATTGTGTATGTGCTTAATGGAATATTTATTCTACAAGCTTCCATAAATAAAGAGAATTTGTATAATTATTCTTGATCTGCAGGTTTTTATTCCTTGTTTTAGCCCCAAATAGTAACCGTGCTGTATTTATCCAAGGAATTCAAAATATTTGGTAAATTCTAACTACCTAAATATCTCTTTAGAAGCAAGGAATACTACTGAAGCTTTCATTTCTAAATTGGGAATTTCAGGCCAGAGGTGTAGAATAAATTAGTAAGTCATTAGCAGGGTTCCCAGTGAACTAAATTTCCACCGTTTTATATCAAATTGCTTATTCTTCAAAGCAGTTCACTCTTTTTCCCCCATAAAGGAACAAAACCGATTTGTTACCTAGACATGAGGTTGAATACTTTTGCAAAACATAATTCTGAGTCAATAAGTTTATTTTCCATGTTCAAAATGATTTTAGGGTTAAAGTTTGGAGGCTGGTGTGTAGATTTACTACTTGCTTGTCCTGTTGTACATGGTGTCATAATTTGCTCAGCTGTGACACACAACTATGCATCTTCCCACTCTCAGAGACAATGGGCTTAGAAAAATACATGCACAGATACAAGGTCACATGGAGAATGTTCTAGTATTCCTGCTAACAGCTCTGTGGGCAAGGCAGTCATAATACAGTCTGACCTGATAGGAGGGGCTTTTTTGGACACACTTGCTTTGGTGGTGCCTCTTTTAAGAAAAGAGTGTGGGAGTGTGTGCCTCATTATCTCCTGTCCTAGAAGAAAAGAAGTACTTCCAGGGAAGGTTGGGAAGGTTTTTTTTCCCTCCTTTCTTGGCAACTGGCTGGGAAACTTTGCCTTGGAGCGCCATCTAGAGGAAAACTCAGCATATGTGCGCCATGCTTTCTTGGCTTTGTGACTCAGGCCTAACGAATCCAGTGTCGGTTGGTGTATGGTAATTTTTTTTTTTAAGAGAAAATTCTGTTTCTAACTCAATACATGGAAATAGAATATGAGATAACTAGAATGGAAATATAATCACTAATGAGAACAGAACAGTGAAAGCCCCTACTAGTTTTCAGGAGTGTCTGAAGCTTTAATACCCATTCTGGGAAGTGAGTAGGTTATCATTTTGCCATAAGCTGAGGTTGTATTCCAGAAATTAGAACTGATGAGTAAATTAAATTCATTTTTTCTTCACTGATCAAGTAATTTTTTTCCACCTCTGTAATTATTTTCTTAGTTAAAAAATTCTCGTTAACCAGGTTGCCCATGGTCAAGTTGAAGAGACTGCTTGTGTTAGGTACAAAAGTTGATAATTTCAACCTATTGTAACCCTTAGTCAAGTTCAGCAAAATCTAATGAGCAGGAAATGATATCTTTTCCAGATGTGGCTTCTCAATTCAGTCTGAGGGAGAAAAAAATAACATTCACCAGTGTATTTTTTTCAAAGCCAGGGTGGGAACTTTAACAGAGAATTCTCCCCTTTTTGAGCTAGCATTAATACAAAAACAAAACCCAAACCTTCTCACACAGGGCTACTCTTCAAGGTTGCTGAGCAGACTTGCAAAAATAACTATACCCTTGAAATATTCTGGCAGTATGAATACCCCTGTTGTAATAACAGAGCTTGAGAGTTCTGCTTTCTTTCAGTTCCTGAAAAGGATCAAGTTTGTACTTTGGAAACATATACTGAAGAAAACTGGGTATGTATTTTCTTTTACTCCTAAGTGTCCTCCCTGACCCCACTGCTCTTGCTAACTTACCCCACCCCAACTATTTTAAGGCTTGTCATAGAAGTCTGTTTCTGTCTTTTACATCTCTAACTCATAATAGCAAGGCCATTCCTTTTTTTCCCTTCGTCGAATAAGGCTCCCGCTGACTTATTTTTGGCAAATCACCATAAATCCATAGGTTCTCCAAAATAACAGGTTAACAATTTCTTTATTGAATGTCTTCTGTGAGTCTGACACATAAACTCTGCACACAGAAAATGATTCCTTGTCTACTGAGATCTGATATGGAAAAGCAAGATGAAAGTGCGTTTTTTTCTGTTGTTTTTTGTGTGTGTGTGTGTTTAAGCAACATTGGCACTTGAGCAATTAAGGCTAATAGTTCAAAGCATCTTCCTCCCTCATTTGCCTGGCCGACTGCTTTCATGGGGTATGTTACAGAAGGACAGGGTCAGTCCAGTTTTTCCAGGCCAATCTGCTTGCTCCTTAAGCAGCTAAGGATCCAAAACAGATGTCCTCCAGCGTAAAGTGAAGACATTTTGGTCCCATCTTCTCATGCTATATGCACATTGGCGTTCAAGTTAACCTAACACACATCTGTTGAAAACCTACCAAGTGTATGAGGGCATGCAAAGTGTTGGCAAGGCCCTCAGCAAAAAAATGCCCTCATTGGGCAAGCAAATGAATGTTGTTGAAAGAATAAGAAATGATCTCTTTGGCCTTAAGCTGCTGACTCTATAGCAAAATGAGGGACCTGTGACTTAAGATACACAGCGGAAAGAAAGATACATTGTACTAGACACAGTGCAGAGATAGAAGTAATTATTGATGCTTGGGGAGATAGGGGAAGACTCTGGAAAAAACTGGCATAGATCAGTGCCTTCAAGGATGAGTAAAATTTTAATAGGCAGAGAACGGGACAGATCATTTCATAAGGAAGGAGCAGAACAGTATTTGCTCATTTGGCCAAAGAAAAATGTATATCATTTGGAGTTCCCTATTTTGGGTTTAAATTTCAGTGTGGGTACAAAGATGTAAGGTACTTAGATTTATGTTATAATAATTAAAACTTGTATTCTTTTCTATTTTATATGGTAAATATGTTTATACATATAAATATATGTACATATATCTACATACGTATGTGTATATGTATAAAACCAAGAGGCCAGAGAAGCCAATATATTTAAGCCAGAAAATATTTTACTTGATTACAGTTTAACAGTATAAGTGGAAATAAGGCCAAAACAAGCCTTATTTCTTGCCAGTAAATGGAGACGAATAGAAGATTTGGTTTCAATTTTTGCCACAAACATTTGCTTTTAGTTTAAATTCCAAGGCTTACCTCTGGCCAGTGGCTCTAACCATCTCCAAAAACCAGACTACCACCTTCCCTGGGTGACAGTCCCTAGAACAGAGATTTTAAGCCTCGTGTGCCCCTAAGCCCTAACAGCATTTGTTCCTACTTCTTTCTTCCCTTGCCTCCCGGGGCATCTCACAGATAAGTGTTCTTTCAGGATTTCCATGTTCCTGTGGGTAATGTTCACGCGCCCTGACTGTGGCTTTTCACCAACCGAGAGAGTCTTATCCAGGGATCCCTTATGTTTTGTTACTCAAGCCCCTGTCCTCTGCAAGAAGATTACTTTGAAAATCCAAGCATTTCTTTTGTAAAAAGAACCAGTTTCCCAAGATAAAACACTGAAAAGAGGCTCAAGCAATCATGCCAAGACTACACCTGCTTCAAGGTGTCAGCGATTTTACTGCCTTAAAGTCCAGAAATTGTTGTGAAATATATACTCCCATAACCAGGGCAGGTAAGTTCCAGTGTAAAATAAATCATGTGGCAATTTGTCAGAGAAATGGAAATGCGAAGAAGAAGGCCTCTAGGCCCCTACAAATGACAGATGACCTTCCACTGCTACCGAACACACTTACTGTGAGCATCGCAAACATCAGCTGGCACACGTTGAAGGCGTGTCTCCAGTTGTGGTACAGAACCATTCGATAATTTTTCCTCACTGTCAACAGCCACCTACACAGTGTCTGAAATGGGAAGGGAAAGGTTGTATCAGGCGGTTGGATGTGTCTCCAGTGGGCTGTTATCAAAACGATGCCTTATGTCTGAGTCATCGTCACCACCCAAGCCTTTCCACAAACCTCCCAGGGTTCTCACGGTAATCCCAGGAGGTGTGCAGGCTGAGTAGTATCATCCTCAGGTTGCATTTGGGCAAGCTGGCTACCATGTTGTCCTAGGCAGATCGCCTTGTCAGAACATCTTACCTCATAGTCAATTTTAAATTTCTGTACCATCCCCAGCTCCATGAACATCCGGAGAGCAGCTGTGATCATGGCGTCAACATCAAGAGAGAAGTCATCAAAATGTATGTCATCGATGGCAAGTTCTGACACCAGAGGGACGTTGGCTGCCTACAAAACAGAAGACAGAAGTCAAGCCAAGTTCACCAGCTTTTCCAAAGCCCTCATCTTGCTCTCTCCTTTCCTGCTTATCAGACGTGCCACATAAATCAGACCTGACCTGCACTTACACTCCGATAGAGCTAAACTCTGAGCTGGAAATGTTTTTTGTTTCGGAGCTGCAAATGCCCCAAGCAAATGAAGAGGGTGGGAGGGGGGAAGGGAAGCTAATCTGAAGGAAAAATATACACACTGGATCTAGTCTGCAGAATTTAGAATACAAAGCTGTCTAGTTTACTGAAACTGCAGTCATACAATATATTCTGATGCATATTACAGAGCACTAAATGCAAGAAACATCTGGTTTTAATTGCTGCTATTTTAATTTTAATTGCTGCTATTCAGAGGAGGACATGGGAATACACCCCTTTGCCTTGTTTCTTGTATTCTTATATCCTTGCGTTGTGTATCCTTATTTCCGTTTCTTGTGTCCTTATATCTTGTAGCTCCGCACATGCCCTTTGTTACACACATGTTCTGTATATTCAGAAGGATGGAAAGGATCAGACAGAGCATCTCTGGCACAAAATGTTTTCTTAATAGAATAGCGACGTTTGGAGGATCAGCACCAGCGTTATGTTTCACCAAAAGAATAAATTTACAATATCGTTTAGTTTCATTCTACATAAACATCACAGTGTAATTACAATACTGGTCATACATATTCAGGGTTTTCAAAACACTCACGTGAGGCAGCCGTCCATCAGTTGCCCCACACAAACTTAAAGGGAAGAACAAAATCTTAGGGAATCATTTTCATGCTGATTTCATTGGGTTCACCATATCCTTTGGGCCACTCTTGGTAAGGGAATAATTTCTACCTTTTCAAGCTATCGGGGATATTCTGGATTCATATTTCTAGTCTATTCACTGGGTGTAAATTACTCAAGGAGTTATCTTCACCCTGGGACTAATTTGGCTGAGCAATGAAATCCAACGCTGGTCACTCTAAGCATTCTAGAAACCATATAATCAGTCCTGCCTTCCCAACTCCATGCTCCTCCATAAGAGTTTACATCTCTAGGCTAAAATCTGAACACTGTTTATTCCCCACAACACAGAAGAACAATGAACAAATATAAAAATATGGTACCGTATTAACTATATGCACACTGTTGTACGATAGGTATCTGGAACTTTTCACCTTGTGTGGCTGAAACTCTGCACCCAATGGACAACTCCCCATTCTCCTCTCCCCTACAGTCCCCGCAACTACCATTCTCCTTTCAGTTTCTATGAGTTTGATTACTTTAGATATCTCATGTAAGGGGAATCAGGTAGTATTTATCTTTTTGTGATTGGCTTATTTCACTTAGCATAATGTCTTCAAGGTTCATTCATGTTGTACCATATGACAGGATTGCCTTCTTTTTTAAGGCTGAATAATATTCCGTTGCATGTGTATGCAGTTGACACTTGAAAAACATGGGTTGGGCTGCATGGGTTCATTTATATGCGGCTTTTTTTCAATAAAGATGACACAGTACTGTAAATGTATTTTCTCTTTCTTATGATTTTCTTAACGTTTTATGTTCTCTAGCTTACTTAATTGTAAGAATACAGTACCTAATACATGCAATATACAAAATATGTGTTAATCGACTGTTTATGTTATCAGTAAGGCTTCTGGTCAATAAGGATATTAGTAGTTATGTTTTTGGGAAGTCAAAATTTTACACAGATTTTTGACTGCATGGGGGTTGGTGCCCCTAACCCTCATGTTGTTCAAGGGTCAACTGTAATACATTTTCTTTATCCATTCATCTGCTGATGGTTTAGTCTGTCTTAATCAGCTTATCTGTCAAGCAATCATTTTCATATATCAGAGGTTTCAGAGTGTTAGAGGTTTTCCTTAGCTGTATGGTCATCTTTGATTTTCAGCTTCTGTGTACAAGTCAGGCTCTAATAGCTCCTGTTAAATCTCCTGCAGCCTTCTCTGGAGGGGGAATCTAACTGACCTGTTTCCTTGGGAAAGCCACCAAAGGTGGGGTATCCTCAGGACTTTGCTCTTCAGCTACTCAGATTCCCCAGAGAAGAATCTTGCGGTTGGAGCCTGGCTGGGAAGGGGCTTGGGGGAGGAGCCCCAGCACTGGTTTCTAGCCCTTCATTCAAGCCCTGTGTGCAGCCTGTAGGCCTACCCTCAAGCTCTGCGCTGGAGTCTCCCTAACCCAAAGAGCAGCTCTTATACATTCTTAAGCTACACACAGCTCTCAGTGTTTATGAAGTGGAGACGTGAGACAAAGGATCTGGAGATGTCACTGTTTCTTAGATTCCCCATTTTCCTGGACATAGTCCCACCCTCATCCCTACTTCCAAAGGTACTTAATTAGCCAGTTCTGGAGCTATCTGGGAGGGGCTCTGTGGTATAAATTTGTTTGTCTCTCAGCTTTTCCCATGGCTGGCTTATTTTGGCTTTCTTGGGTTTGCTAAATTACTTAATATTTATCCGTCTGTTTTCTAGCTTTCAAAATTTTGTTATTATTAAGTCCTCTCCCAATTTCTTTGCTTTTGAGAATTTATACCCTAAAAAAAAATTCTTCATGATTTTTTAGTGGGGCCTGAGGCAGGAACAAAAGAAAATGAGTCCGTTTACTCTACCATCGTTATCCAAAAATCATTTAAATTGTGTTTTTTAAATGGTGCCTTAAATGATCAGCTTGGAGAACTCAGAGGTAAACTGACCTTTGGTTTTTAGTCCCTTTGTTTCTACGTGCATGGGCCTGGCGGCAACTGTGCACACCCTTTTCTCTTATTCTGTACCCCTGTGTCAATCCTGACCTTGCCTTTTAGGCTGTAACACTCTTAGAGGAGAATGCGGTGTTTCTTTCCTTTAGGGAAACTCCAGAACGACTCTCTACTTCCACCACGTGTTTCAGGGGCTTTCTCTCTACCTAGAATATCTGTGCTCGTGGTAGTTTGTTCAAGTTCAGACTCAAATACAACTGGAAAACCACTTCCCAAGAGGGTAGGAGCCCCGTCCCAAAAGACACAAGTGTTTCTGCTCTCAGGAGAAGAGTCTGGTCCTGCGTTGGCAGAGGAAGTCCAACCCCCTCCCAGCTGGTTGCCGAGGAGCTTATGTGGCAGCGGAGGCCGTGTCGCTCTCCAGGTGGTCCCTGTCTTGTGGATTATTAATAGTGTCGTCTCTGATGCCATTGTAAATCCTCTACCCTTCAAAGGCACTAAATTCACTTAATTATCTTAAAAATTAAAGAATATAGGCATTTTTTTCATTATGAAATGTTAATGGAAAGGAAATAAGAACATTAGGTTGAAAAATGTAGGGTGACCTCTGGTTCACCAAGACCCATACTTATTGACCTTGTCTTTTTTCCCCTAACAGGTTGATTGATCCACAGTTAAATCATACCAGTCTATGGATCACCCCAAGCCCTGTCGTAAACCCTTGCCGGCACTTGTAGATGCAGAGAAAGTCCCCAGCCTTTCAGAAATGGCCAGTTTCAGCTATTTTGAGAAGTATAGATAGTTTTCATCCCCACTCCTGGGTTCAAGAGCGGTTTCTGGGGGGAAATTATGAAGAATTAAGAGTAGGGTGTGTCCTGAGGAGGTGTGCCTGGAGATCTTGTCTGCAAAAGAGTTGGGAAGAGCCTTCTGTTGCCAAATGTCCTTGTTATAGAAACACAAGCTCTGCATATCTTCTGATAAGTAGAGAATGGGATCACGTCTTCCAGACCTATAATTACTCTAGACATAGGATGTTAACAAAACAAATCAAAGTCAGTTTCTCCAATTGTCAGTCTTCAACTTTTAAATATTTATAAGGCCCCATATCCCTAAATCAAAGAAGAGTGCTACAGTCCAAAGTAACTACTGAATTAATAGCCAGGAAATAACATTTGGATAAAAGAACAATTTACTTTAGTGCAGCAATAAATGAAAACACAGAATTATGAGTCCTGGAGCTAATTTGAATAATGTTCAAGAAGTGGGACTCTAGCTGGCTGGGAGTACCTGATATCCTTTGACCATGCCTCTTCTTTGTTTGGGTCTTAATAGTTAAGTGGTTATCAAAGGAAGTCATAAAACTGCCTCCTCTAAAATTGAAAAGGTAGCTTTGCAAAGAGGCCATAAAATGTTAAAATACAATCCTGGATCCCCTGACACATGAATATTACATTTTGTGCTGTTCAGAAAATGGGAAGAAACAACAAAGTGGGTGGTGGTCCAGGCCAAGCATTTCAAAGGCAGAATGACTTGTCGCCACTCCAGCCCACTCACTCACGCACTCCTCTGGACAAGAGCAGAAGTTGGGGGCTTTAGGATCCTGGGATTATGGAAGGCAGGGGACCGGGCTGTGGGGATGTGGAAGGGACTGCGACGTTCTTTATTTCGCCACACTGTTACAGCTCTTACCATATGCCAGGCACTGTTCTGGCACCTTATGCATATTAACTCACTTGCTCCTCACGAGGACCTGAAGAGGTAGGGAATATTTTTAATCCCATGTTACAGACGAGGCCACGGGAATAGATGATAGGTAATCTGTTCAAATTTGCACAGTGGTGACTGGCAGAGGCAGATTTGAACCTGGGGCATCTGGTTCCCAACCACTATACTGTCTCTAAAAATGGGCTGCTGCCAAGTCAAAGGGTCCCTCATCCCTGTTTTATGCAAGCTAACTTGGGTGCACCAGGAGAGATGTTTGGGACTTAGATCCAGATAATTATCGATCCACTTTTCATGATGAGCAGCCTGGAACCATTTGAGAGGACAATGTTTTGGTCTTACATGAATTCATTTGGGAAGTCTCTAGGTTCACAACTGCCTTTAGAATAGCCCCAGTCGTTAGCATTGTTTTGATTAGAGGGAATACAGAATCAGTTCAATACTCCTGAGACCATCCTGAAAAAAATAACTTCTCCTCTGAGGGAGCAGAAGCAGACTTCGGGCAAATGACATTAGCTTCCGACGGGAAAGCAGAGCATGCATGGGGC